CGTTGAAAGATGTGGAATGTCACAGAGGAAGCATGTCCTAGGGCGTCAGTCTGATTTTACCGATTAGTACACTTTTGTCCTTCATATTCTCTCTTTGTCTAAAACTAGTCATCCGTTCTCTTTGTATTGAAATACTATTTTTACAAAATAAATGATTGATTTTTGAAATGATGTTTTCCTTTGAATTTCTTACATACACACTACACGTCATGGTCTTAATGAGTCACGACTTGAGGTATAATTTTTGGGTCGTGACAAATTTGGTATCAGAGCACCAGGACATAGGTCCGGTAGACACTTAGGTTAGAGAGTCGTATCCTCTGTGACACGCCCATCAATCACGTGCCACTCACGACCAGACAGTCTCACGAATTTGAATTGCGAAATCAAGAGCTAAGTTGTTAAGTAGAGAATTTATCATGACTGTTTCTTGTGTTATAATTGTACATTTTCTAGAGGTTGAGCTATGAATGAATTGTAACCGCAATTTTTCTATTGTGGTAGCTAAATGGCACCAAAGAGATGTGGACCCTATCTATGGCCTCGACCTAGAAGGGGAAGAAGAAGAGTTGTTCAGAACACTGATGTCCCGTCACCTGAGGCGGAACAACCTATACCTGAACCTCAAGAGGAGGTTGATGAAATGCCCCAATAGTTCGAGAGTCCTATACCACGGGCACCAAGATCAGGAATGAGTCAAAAGACAGCAATGACTCAAGACTTACCTAACGTAGACTCTACTTCTCCTTCTCCTGAGGCGGTCCCACTGGTGCCCACCAATAATGTAGAGGTTCCACCTAGCCAACCAACAACTGTCCGCTGGAATATCAGGTTCATTGCAGAACTTATATGTTGAAGGGAGAGGCTCAGTTCTGGTGGAAGGGTGCTCAAAAAAATTATTGCACCGCTTGGAGAGTCTATTTCTTGGTGTCAGTTCAAAGAGGCCTACCTCCGCAAATACTATCCAGTCTCTGCCAGAATGAAGTTGCAGGCAGCGTTCCATGAACTCAAGCAGGGTGACCAATCTGTGGAGGATTATGATTTGAATTTAATAGATTGGCAAGATTCTCTCCTATATATGTCAGCACTGAGCAGCTTAAGGCTGAACGTTTTATCGCAGGTCTAAGGGAGAACATTAGAGGTTATGTGGCATCTGAAGCATCCACAAATTATACAGCAGCCCTCAAAAAGGCGACCCTCATTGATGCGCCTCGTATTGACAAATTACAGTCAAGGTCAGCCCAAAAATCCCACATAGCAGTTCAGGAGAAAAAGATAGACCAGAACTAGCACAAGACTGGCAGACCACCTTGTGGTGGCACTGCTAATTGCGAAAGAGCCTTAGCACAAAACAAGGATCCATGTCCTAAGTGTCAGTGCCCTCACCTAAGGGAATGTCGACAAGGAACTGATGTATTAGAACATAATATTGTCCTCATAAGAGAGAACATAATACTAACCGACCTGCAATAAAGAATCAAAGGGGTCGGGGTGCCCAATAGCAGCAAAGGCGAGCTGTAGTGTTGAATTAAAAGCTCACTCTAATATTAATTTGTTGAAATTAAAATACCTCTGATACCAACTTGTAGAAAATAGATGCTCGCTCTGAAACCAACTCGTTTAGATAACTCTCACGAGGCTGTGGAAGAGGTGTCGAGAGGAGAGAGACAAAGAGACAGAGAATTCTCAAAAGTCTTTTTCTATTACACTGTAAACTCTGGCTCTTTTTGCTTTTTTTTTTCCTCCTTTTTTCTCTACTATTACCATGAGAAGTAAAGTCTATTTATAAGTTTTGGTAAGGCTAAAATTGGCGACAACTATCACGCGTTTTCCATAAACCACTGCTCTACTAAAATGCATATTGGCTTTTGACTAAATTTTAAAAGACCAAAAATTAATAACTACTTCTTTCTTTTTTTTTCTCTCTCTCTCATTTAAGTTTATTTCTAACATGTAGCACATGCAACCATAGGCAGGCAAGCCGACGAGCCTGACGCAGTCGTTACAGGTACACTACCCGTCTTTGGTCATTTGGATTTTGTATTATTTGATTCAGGTTCTACACACTCATTTGTGTGTGAGGAATTCGTTGACTTAGCGCACCTGGAAAAAGAACCCTTAGAGACCATTCTATCAGTGTCTACCCTGCTCACGAACTATTAATGGCTACTCATAGAGTTAAGAGAGGTAGTGTGACAGTGTCGAGACGTGTCATAGAAGCTGCTTTAATAGTATTAAGTATGCAAGACTTTGATGTCATTTTGGGTATGGATTGGCTAGGCGAGAATCGCGCTTTAATATATTGTGAAACTCGAACAGTTACTCTCAGACTCCCATCAGGGGATAGTTTTACATATAAGGGAGCCACTTCCAAAAGAACTCCAAGCGTCTTAACTTCACTAAAGGCTAGAAAGATAATTTGCAGTGGCGCAAGCACATTTTTAGCCAGTGTGACCCTAAACAGCAGAAATGAACAAACAATCTAGTCAGTACACATTGTCAGGGAAATTGTTGATGTTTTCCCTGAGGATTTGCCAAGTTTGCCCCCAATTAAGGAAGTTGACTTCGGGATCGAACTAGAACTAGGAACTGCGCCGATCTCCAAGGCACCCTACAGAATGGCACCTGCAGAACTCAGGGAATTGAAGGAACAGATACAGGAGCTATTGGATAAGGATTTCATACGACCCAATGTACTGCCCTAGGGAGTCCCTATTCTGTTTGTCAAGAAGAAAGATGGATCCCTGCGTCTGTATATAGACTATAGAGAACTAAACAAGGTCACCATAAAGAATAAGTACCCCCTCCCGAGAATCGATGACTTGTTTGATCAATTACAGGGAGCAACGGTATTCTCCAAAATTGACTTGAGATCAGGGTATCATCAATTGAGAATAAGAGAAGAAGATATACCCAAAACAGCCTTCAGAAGTTGCTATGGACATTATGAGTTTCTCATCATGTCCTTTGGTCTTACCAATGCATCAGCCGTCTTTATAGAACTAATGAACAAGGTCTTTAAGGAATTCTTAGACACTTTTGTTATAGTGTTTATTGATGACATTGTGGTGTACTCTAAGTCAAAGGTAGAGCACAAAGAGCAATTGAGGAAAGTTCTGACCGTACTGAGAACGCAGCGACTGTACGCTAAGTTTTCCAAGTGTGAGTTTTGGCTATTTGAGGTAGCGTTTTTGGGTCATTTGGTGTCAAGCAGAGGAATCATAGTGAACCCAGCTAAGATAGAGACAGTGATGAAGTGGCCAAGGCCGACCACAGTCACTAAAGTACGGAGTTTTCTGGACTAATTGGATATTACAGAAGGTTTGTCTCGGATTTCTCCAAAATATGTTCTGCGCTAACTCAGTTAACCAAGAAGGGCAAGCTCTTTGTGTGGATATCAGCATGCGAACAGAGCTTCCAACAACTCAAGGAGAGGTTGGTGACAGCACCAGTCTTCACAATTCTAGATGGATCTGGGAATTTAGTGGTGTACAGCGATGCATCAGGAAATGGTCTAGGGTGCGTGCTTATGCAGAAGTGTAAGGTGATATCTTACGCTTCTAGACAACTGAAGGAATATGAACGAAATTATCCCACTCATGACATCGAGTTAGCAGCAGTGGTGTTTGCACCGAAACATGGCGACATTATCTGTATGGAGAGAAAATCTAAGTATTCACTGATCACAAGAGTCTCAAGTACCTATTTACACAGAAGAAGCTTAATATGAGACAGAGGAGATGGTTGGAACTAGTAAAGAATTATGACATCGAGATCTTGTACCATTCAGGCAAGGCCAATGTTGTGGCGAACGCATTGAGCAGAAAGGTTATTCATACTTCTGCGATGATCACCAAGCAGGAAAGAATATAGGATGAGATGAAGAGTGCTAGAATCAATGTTGTAATTAGAGGTGGAACTACTCAAATATCACAAATTACCATGCAACCCACCTTGCGAAAACGAATTATTGACGCTCAGAAGTTTGATGAACACCTTGGGAAAGTGTGGAATTATACAAAGACAAAAAGACCAATATGATACTCTATCTCTTCAGACGGGGGCTTGTTGTGGAAAAATCGCTTGCGAGTTCCCCGTGACGAGGAAATCCTGAAGGATATTACGACGGAAGCCCATGATACTTCTTACACGTTCCACCTTGGAAGTACAAATATGTATCAGGACCTTAAGAGATGTTATTGGTGGCCAGGGATGAAGAAGGACAGAGTAGATTTCATAAGTCGATGCTCAACCTGTCAACAAGTGAAGGCCCCGAGACAGTGCCTAGTAGGACTGCTACAACCCTTAAAGGTCCCTCAATGGAAATGGGAAGCATTTTGAATGGATTTTATTTCGGGTTTGCCCAAGACCAAGCAGAGCTTCAACGTAATCTGGGTAGTTGTTGACAGACTTACCAAAATGGCTCATTTCATCCCAGGAAAATCCACTTCTCGCGTGGATCGGTGGGCTCAACTGTATATCAGAGAGATAGTACACCTGCATGAGGTACCAGTGTCCATAGTATCTGATCGGGACACTAGATTCACTTCTCAGCTTTGGAAAAGCCTCCAAAAAGCACTGGGGACTCGGCTAAGGTTTAGTACAACATTTCATCCTCACACGAACGGACGGACCGAAAGACTGAACTAAATCTTAGAAGATATGTTGCGAGCATGTGTCATAGATTTTGCTGAGTGTTGAGACGAACATCTACCTCTGATAAAATTTGCTTACAATAACATTTATCAAGCGATCATCCAGATGGCCCCTTTTGAGGCATGCATGTATGGGCGTAGGGATGTCGAAAATCGATATTTTTGGAAGAAGTAGGCACGCAGCAACTATTGGGACCTGAGTTGGTTCAGGTCATCAATGCAGCGGTACAGAAAATTAAGTAAAGAATTCTCACCGTACAAAGTCGACAGAAGAGCTATGCAGATTTGTAAAGAAGAGACCTCGAGTTCGAGGTGGGTGACCATGTGTTCCTGAAGGTAGCCACTATGAGGGGGGTGATGAGGTTTGGAAAGAAGGGAAAGTTAAGTCCAAGGTTTATAGGCACTTTTGATATTTTAGAGAGAGTTGGGGTCGTGGCTTATAGAATTGCTCTACCACCAAACCTTGTCGCCGTTCACAACGTGCTCCACGTGTCTATGCTGCAAAAGTATACCCCAGACCCTACTCATGTGATTGAACATGAAACCCTTCCTTTTCGGGAAGATCTATCCTACGAGGAAAGACTTAGCAGAATTTTGGCTCAAGACACTAGGCGACTGCGGAATAAAGTTATTCCTTTGGTGAAGGTCACTTGGGGTAACCATCGAGATGGGGAGGCAACCTGGGAACAGGAAGATGATGTTAGGAGAGCCTATCCCAAACTCAAAGAGATGCCAACTTTCTGGGAATAAAGTTTCTAAATAGGGGAGAGTTTGTAACGCTAAAAAAACGGTCAAAATTAGAGGGGCAAAAGGGGCATTTTGTTCCTCAACCCATTATAGTGGTCTTGAGGATTTTACGAGTGCCTACAACTACAAAAGAGAAAAGTGTGAGAAAGAAAGTTGACAGAAAACTTGAGAGGGAAAAGTAAATTGTCGGAGTCCTCATCAGAGAAGCACCAACGAAAGTCATCCTCTACCAAGACTTACACTCTAAACCTTCTTCTTGGAGAGAAGAAAGACTCGTGTTGTTGAGGTTCCATCTTTCGTCTGTTGTTTTTCACAGAATTTCGGTGAGAGAAAATTGGTTGTTGGAAGAAAATGCGTAACAAAAAGGAGAGAGAAAATTAACTGAATTCTGACTGCGTTCAGATTGTTTTTATTTTATGAACAAATCTCCTATTTAAAGTAAAAATCATTCTAAAAATGGTTGGAGAGTGGCCAACTAAATCTATGCCACTCCCTACAAAATTTCAGTCTAAAATTCTGGTGATCCATTCGACGTGTTTTGTCAAATGGTCAAACTGACGATTTTCTGAAATCGTGTGAATAAGAAAAAACGGTAAAACTCAGGTTTTATCTAACAATCTCCTCCTAAAACCTGTAGTATATCTACCTTACTATTTGAACTCCGATCTTTGAGCGTAGTTCTTCAAATTTCACCCGCGCCAGGGACTTGGTGAAGATGTCTCCAAGTTGTTCCTCTGTTCGGATGTAATCAATTTTGATGAGCCCTCGATCTGCACATTCTCTAATGTAGTGGAATCTGATTTCTATGTGCTTGCTTTGTTCATGCAAAACTGGATTTTTGATCAGGGAGATCGTAGCTTTGTTGTCTACGTATAGCATTGGTGGATCACTTTCTCTCCCGATGAGTTCTTCCATTAGTCGCGCAAGCCAGATCCCTTGTGTTGCTGCCATCGAAGCGGCGATGTATTCTGCTTCACAGGAAGACAAAGCAACTACCTTCTGTTTTATTGATTGCCAGCAGATTGCGCCGCCTGAGAGAAAGTAGATCATTCCGCTAGTGCTCTTACGATCATCAACGTCACCGGCCATGTCACTATCACTGTAGCCAACTAGCTTGAGTTTCTCCTTTCCGCTCCCTGCGCAGTATCTTACACCCCAGCCTCTGGTTCCGGCTACATAGCGCAGGATGCGCTTGACAGCCACTAAATGCTCCTCCCTAGGTGCTTCCATAAACCGGCTCACATATCCAACAGAATAAGCAAGATCAGGACGAGAGTTTACCAGATAGCGCAGACTCCCGACAATGCTGCGGTAATTGGTGGAGTCGACTATCGTCGTAGTGTCAGCCTTCCTTAGTTGGAGTCGGGCCTCCATAGGCGTCCTTGTAGGATTAGTCGCTTCTTGTCATGGTCGTGCGTGTACATGCCATGCTCAGAGGCGCAACGTTTGAATTTCAGTGACAGTAAGGTACTGTCGAGCTTCGCGTTCCAGGCTCGTGGAGCTTGTCGAAGCCCGTAGAGTGCCTTGTGCAGGCGCAATACTTTATTGGGGTTGTTGTTATCAAGGAAGCCAGGTGGTTGTCGGACATAAACAGTCTTCTTCAGCTCTCCGTTAAGGAAAGCAGACTTTACGTCCATATGGTGAACCTCCCAAGAGTAATGTGCTGCAATTGCAAGTAAGAAACGAACGGATTCTAACCTTGCCACTGGCGCAAATACCTCTTCGAAGTCCACTCCTTGCTTCTGGACGTAGCCCTTCGCCACCAGACGGGCCTTGTGCTTCACAACTTCTCCTTTTTCGTTGCGCTTCAATTTGAAGACCCATTTGAGCCCTATGGCTTGGTGTCCCGACGGCATATCCTCCAGACTCCACGTCTGATTTTTGGTGATGGATGTCATCTCCTCCTGCATTGCCTTCAGCCAGCACGGGTTCTTTTCTGCTTCGGCGAAGGTGTTCGGTTCATCTGCACTGATGGCATGTAGTTCGTCCACTTCTTCGAGCTCGCGCACTGCTAGTCCAGGTGGTTCACCTCATCCTACTAGGTCGTCCATCCTCCGGTACCTGGCCTCCAGATCAGTATCGTGATCGGCATCCAGCGTCGAATCCGCAATCCGTGGTGTTGCGAATTCCACTGGTTCAGGGGTTGCACCTGCTGGCGGCGGTGACGGCTGCTGATGCTGGGCTCCTCCTTCTTCCGGCTCGGTGACGAGGTACTTCACCGTAAATTGATTTGGATTATGGTCTGCCTCGATCACGTCATTCCACTGCCAGAAGGTGCTTTCGTCGAAGACGACGTCGCGAGACACGTGAGCTCGCCCCCCTACAGGATCATATAGTCTGTACGCCTTGCTCCCGAGTTCATAGCCGATAAAAACGACCTTCAGCCCCCTAGGATCGAGCTTGGCGAGGTGGGGACGTGTTACCTTCATGTATGCGACGCAGCCGAACACGCGAAAATGATGTACCGCTGGTTTTTTGTTGTACCAAGCCTCATATGGTGTCTTCCCGTCAAGGCTTCGGGTTGGTGACCGATTGAGGAGGCAGACGGCCGTCATTACTGCCTCTCCCCAGAATCACCCAGGCATCCCGGCCGTCACCAACAATGACCTTGCTGTCCCGACGATGGTCTCATTCCGGCGCTCCACCACTCCGTTCTGTTGGGGGGAGTAGGGCGCCGTTAGGTGCCGTTGTATGCCGATTTCGTCACAGTACTTACCGAAACTTGTCGAGGTGAATTCTTCGCCTCGGTCTGTGCGCAGCACTCGCATCTTCTTCTCACATTCGGCCTCCGCTCGCACTTTAATGCACTTAACCGCCTCTGCGCCTCACTTTTCGCTTGCAGCAGGGTCAGCCATATGAAGCGGCTTTTGTCATCGACTAACAGGAGGAAGAGACTCTTACCGCCTGGGGTCGCCGGCTTGATGGGCCCGCAGATATCGCCGTGTACAAGCTCCAACGGCTCATCGGCTCGATAGGATGTTCGAGACGGAAAGGGTGTGCGTCTCTGTTTGCCGATGAGGCACCCGTCGCACAGCTTGTTCACGCCTTTGATTGCTGGCAAACCGTGCACTAACTCCTCCTTCTGTAGTTTTTCTAGAGCAGGAAAGTTTAAATGACAGTACCTTGCGTGCCACCTCAGAGATACCTCTTCGGTCTGCCGAGAGACTGACAGGTTGCTCTATCTCTAACTCCAGGATGTAAAGACGGTTTGTCGTGCGCCTTGCCTGTGTGAGCAGCCGTCGTTGATTATCGCAAATTTTGAGTAGTCCGCGCTCGATGGAGATGAAGCAGTCTGTCTCATCGAGTTGACCCAGGCTCACAAGGTTAGCCTTGAGCCTCGGGATGAAGTAGACGTCGGTCAGCTTGCGATGCTCGCCTCCCTTTGCTGGCGAACAGGATGGTGTCGCGTCCTTCGATCTCGACGACGGATCCGTCGCCGAATTTCACCGTCCCGCAGATCCCCGAGTCGAGTTTGGAGAATGCAGATCTAGCCCCAGTCATATGGTTTGTTGCCCCTGTGTCTAGGATCCATCGCTGGTCCTTGTGTTGCTCGTCCCGCTCGCTGATCTGAGCGAACACTCCTCCTCCAGTTGAATTGGCTCCCTAGCTGGTGCCACCTTTGCTACGCCCAGCTGGAGCTCTCCTCCAGTTGAATTGGCTCCCTAGCTGGTGCCACCTTTGCTACGCCCAGCTGGAGCTCTTTCTCGAGTTCAACATCGTTGTTGATTACATCCATTACCATGAAGAGAGCTGGCTCGTCCTCCTCGGATTGAGCCACATGGGCCTTTTCGGCCGTCTCCTTGTTCCTAAGCTTGCTCCAGCAATTCCTGCTTAGGTGTCCTCTCTTCCCACAGTTCGAGCAGATCGGCCTGCCATTGGTCGACTCCTTCTTTTGATTCCAAGCAATTCCTGCTTAGGTGTCCTCTCTTCCCACAGTTCGAGCAGATCGGCTCCTTCTTTTGATTCCCATCTTTCCCGCGCATGCGCCCGTGGGAGATCCATGGCTTCTTACTGTCTTTGCGGCTGGAGGAGGACCCATTGCTCTCGCTGGTGTTGTCACGGAGCTTTAGGCGTGCAAGCCATTCCTCCTCAGTGAGGAGTAGACGACCCCCCTACGCAGTCTTCCGGTCACCTCTTCTACCGTTAGGTCGTTCACGTCAAGCAATGTCTCGATTGAAATCGCAACTTGCTCGAGGTGATCAGGGACAACCTGCAGCATCTTCTTCACGATTTCTGTCTCGCTGATGCTGCCACCGAGTGTGGTGATGTTGTTGGCGAGCCCCCCGTGATCCCGACGGGATTTGATTCCCTCCCAGGTCGATTGCGCGGTGCGCTTGGTGGAGAGAGATGTCAGCATCTATGGGGGCACAAATCGTAATATGGCGGCAAACGCCAACCGATCCTCACGGTACTCAATCGTTTCTCCTTCCTCTGGCTCGACAGCGTGCCATAACCCTTGCGCCTGTAGGTTGGCGCGCATCAACAAGATCCATTCGTTATAATTGGACTTTGTCAATATTGGATACTGAACGATGGCAGTCGTTGTCTCCCTGATCACTCGCTCAACGATAACTTGACGCCCGTCATCACGGCATCGGCGTGGAGGAGTGAGTGAGCCTGCCCGAGATGGGTCCCACGATGTGTGTGTTTTTACACTTCGCATTTTCTTCAAACCTGAGACCTTTGTGATGTTAGGTCAAAGCTCTAACCACTTGAGCTATTCAACTTGTTTGTTGATAGGTTGACTCCTCTGCAATGATATACATCGATCTCAAATGGTCAAACTGGCGATTTTCTGAAATCGTGTGAATAAGAAAAAACGGTAAAACTCATGTTTTATCTAACATCGTCAAGATCCGAGAGAAATCTGCAAGGTAAGATTGCGAATGTTACTCTCCAGATCTGAGATCTTCGTTTGGGAATAGAGTGTTAAAGTTTAAAATCTTCATCTAGGGAAGATCTGCCACTGATTTTGTGAGGAAATCGAACAAAATATTGAGATCTGAGAATCTTTCCAAGAACGGTAAGGATGTTATCGGACCTATTTCTAATGCTCATAATGCGTCGTATGATTAAGTAAAAATCAAGAAAAAATATTGGCACGTAGATTGTGACAGAAACACTCATACAAGAAAGTGATTTTTGCACAATAACGTTATTCTATAAGAGAGACAATACTTAGAAAATAAACAAAACCAACCTACTTATTTTATTCAACTTGTTACACAGGATATATATAGATAGAAAAAAAAAAAAAAAACTAACTTCTTACAACAACCACACATTAATAACTGCTAATAACTTCTCTAGATCTTAACCACAAATACTAAAATTAACATAATTTAAAATACAAACATCAAATACAAATGAATTATGGTTAATACAAGATTAAATAAACTAACAATTGTAGTATGATCTAAAACTTTGTTGAAAAAGTCATTATGGTTTGGATTAAGAATCAAGAGGTAGAAAAATGAGAAGAACGTCGGAAAACTAATCAAAAACCTCGTTTTTCTACTAGGAGGAGAGAGAAGGCGACGGCGTGCCACGTGTCAGCCGGCAAGAGGTCTGCATGTGCCAATAACCACCGGACATGCGTCGAACGCCGCCTGGGGAGACGCAGCTCCAGCCTTCCAGCAACACGCGTCGCAGCCACGCAACCCGATCCGCGTTCCTCAGCTGACCCATTACCCGCATGATGAAACGAACCGCGACGACCCACAGTCCACCCGAACCAAACCGACGACCCACAGCTGCAGAAAAACGTGTGCGCGTGACACTCGCGCGTGGAACCTGCGAGTGAGTTTGTCCCAGCGCGTGGCTGGCATGTATAAGCCCGTTTTCATCCCGTTCGACTCTTGTTTTCCCTATTTTCCTCCTGATTCCAATCTAACTCTATTTTATATGAAATAGGATCCTATTGAGGAAAAATCAGTACCTTTTGATACGCTAATTGTGTGAAAACGCTACATAAGGGCACGCATCATCCAAGTCACCACACGGATCTTTAGGAAAAAATACTTGAGTCACTTGGATAAGCATGCATGCTAGTCTAATTACCTTAGATAGTAGTTTTTCATGTTTGATTGTAGGTAATTTATTTGTTAAGATTATGGATGTTTTATGAGAAGTATTATGAGAATCGTCTGAGTGTTGCAATTATGTTTTAACTTTCGCTTTATATGTATATATTTATTTCATGCTAAAAGAAGGATGGGAACTTGTGAACTTTGCGCTTCGGGAGTTGATGGATGTTATCGACCCATTGAGCATGTATGTTTACTTTGCATGAAATATGTATGATGATGTTGGATGATAATTGTGTGCACACTCAGTTAATTTTTATGGCTCGTGGAGTTGATGGATGTTATCGCCCCGTTGAGAATGTATGTTTACTTTGCATGAAATATGTATGATGATGTTGGATGATAGTTGTGTGCACACTCATTACTTTTCATGACCCACATTTATGATTAAGTCTAGGGATTTATGGTTAGAGTAACAAGACACCAAGTATAGACCTAAACTTTCCCCTAGGAGCATAAGAAACTACCACGGTAAACGAGCTACTTCTAGAGTACTCTTAGGTTAACTGTGTGCGATTGGTGTTAATGCTTCGTGGGAGACCAGGGGGTTCCTGATCAGGACTTGTCTGCTCTAAAGTCGTTTTAGCATGGGAAACGGGAGATCCACGTTGAAACGAACCATTTAGCTAGATGGGAATGGGGGAGGTATCCCTCCCCAAACAATGAGGGACTATCATGGGACTAGGGGGTTGTAGCTCACTTCCTAGATATGACACAAGGTAGTCTCATAGCCATGTCGAGGTAGCTACTCGCAGAGTACCAGTCAAACACAGTTTGGCATAAGGGAACTCTTAAGATATAAATGAAAGGACAAAGTACCAAAGAAGCCCCAAGGAGCTAAGACCTAAACTAGATGTTCTAGAGTCAAAGAAAAAGACCGTGGAAGTTTGTCAAAATTAGGATGCGATAAGAACCTACAAGTAGGTGGCTTATTGAGTATAATTTTATACTCATTCTTGCTATATCTTTCTTTTTCAGGTACGTGAGACGTTGGGTCAAGAGAGGGCACATTGAAAGATGTGGAATGTCACAGAGGAAGCGTGTCCCAAGGCGTCAGTCCAATTTTACCGATTAGTACACTCGTATTGTCTAAAACTAGTCACCCATGTTCTCTTTGTATTGAAACGCTCTTTTTACGAAATAAATGATTGACTTTTGAAATGATGTTTTCCTTTGAATTTCTTGCATACACACTACACGTCATGGTCTTAATGAGTCATAACTTGAGGTAAAAATTTTGGGTCGTGACATTGGGGGGAATTTTTGGCCTACATTAGAGCCTGTTATCGGTGTGGACAAGGTCATATAGCCCCGAAGTGCTCAGGGGTCACTTGGATAATCGTGGTAACCAACAAAGTGGTCCAACTGCAGCAGATCGCCCCACTCAAAACCGTCCTCCATCGAGAGCTTATGCCTTCACTAGTAAGAATACTCTAATCTCGACGTTGTGGTGACAAGTACTGATAAGAAAATAAACCACTACAAGGGGAGTAAGATTCGGATTACCTTGTTGATCGAATATCTCAAGGCAAGAACATTGTTTGAGATTCGAATCACTCCACAAGCAAGATCGATCATGTCTAGCTTGAATGATTCTTGTTGATCAAATATCTCAAGGCAAGAACACTTGCTTGACATTCGAATCACTCCACAAGCAAGATTGATCATGTCGAGCTTGAATGATTCTACATGCAACCTAAACTACATAGAGTTGCAAAGAAACTTAGCCATTGGCTAAAGAAGAGCACAAATGCTCCTTTTTACTATATTTTCCAAGTCTCTTACAAATACAACATACATGACTTTATATAGCCTCAAAATGAAACTACTACGCATTCCAAGAATTGTAACATTCATACTTAATGGTCATAATTAACCATTATGTAATTGTAACCTAAAGTAAATAAAAAGTCATAAAAACTCTAAATTGTAACCCACCCAAAATTTAGAACAATCAAACTTCACTCTTCTTCAATGTGGCATGCATTGAAACATCTTTTGATAATTTTGACAACTTTTTCTTCACATCGTCATTAAAGTATATTGTATGATTGATGTTTTTTGGTTCATATCAAGTATCTTATCTGTCCTTGGTCACCTTGCTTTAACATTATTTGACTCGGGATCTATGCATTCATTTATATCTACTGTTCTCATTGTTGCTTTAACATTGTTGCATGAATTTTCTATTATCACCCCGACAGGTGTGGATTTGATTTCTGCGAATAAGGTGAAAGACAGTCAAGTGATAGTATCCGGAATTAGCCTAGAATTCAATCTAATGGTTTTTTACATTACCGACTATGACATAATACTGGGTATGGATTGGTTAGCTGAAAATCATGCTAGTATAGACTTTTATAAGAAGGAAGTAGTGTTTACGCCACCGTCCAAGACTAGATTTAAGTTCAAGGGTACGTGTCTAGGGATTATGCTTAAATTAGTATCAATGATGAAAGCGAGGAAGTTGGTCTAGCATAGAGCGTGGGTTATACTAGTCAGTGTTAGTAAAAATTGAATTTCTAGACGTGTTCCTAGAGGATTTACCAGGAATTTTCCCTTCTTGAGATTTGAACTTCGTAATAGAACTTGAACCATGTATCGACCCTATCTCTAAGGCCCCGTATCATATATAACTTCTTAAGCTACTTTCTCTATTGTTTGTATTGTATGTTAATGTACATACCAAAAGTCATCGATATAAACCTTTTAGTTAGGGTTCTTCTTGCATTTTCTCTCTTGTTCTTTGTGTTCATCTAAATCGAATGTGAGCGTTGTTGTGCGATCCTAACATTTTCATCCACAGACAGATAGTCAAACAAAACGTTTTATTAACCATATTTGTCTAATGGATATGGTTTAAACAATAGTTTTCAGGAAACTATTGGCATGATACCGTATGAGACTTTATATGGAAAATAGTGCAGGTTTCTTTCATGTTGGGACGAAGTAGGGGAACGAAAATTGGGGGGTCCCAAATTAATTCAAGTTACCAATGAGGCGGTGTAAAAGATCGAGGCGAGGATGCACACTGCTTATAGTAGACAGAAAAGTTATGTTGATGTAAGGCGTAAGAGCCTAGAATTTGAAATGGGTGACTTGGTGTTTCTAAACGTGGCCCCGATGAAAGATGTTCTAAAGTTTGACCGCATAGGTAAATTGAGTCCACGATTGACCCATGCACTAAACACACTACGTATCAGGGAAATCGCTTTAGTCAAAATATTGTGACCAGTGAGGTTGATTTTATTTGAAAACACAAAATGTTTTTGAAACAAAAAAAATTGACACATGAACTAAACACATTACCTACTAAGGACATTGCTTTAGTCAAAATAATGTGATCAATGAGGATCTTGGCACATGAACTAAACACACTACGTACCAGAGACATCGCTTTAGTCAAAATATTGTGACCAGTGAGGATCTTGGCACATGAACTAAATACACTAGGTACCACGTACATCGCTTTAGTGAAAATATTGTGAGGAAACTAGCCAATAGAGGAAACCACGTGAAAATAGGAGGAAGAATTGAGAGAGAAATACCTTACGTTGTTTCAACTGAGTCACTTTAAAAGTCCTTTTCTAGAGGGTATAATGTAACACTAAGTAGTTTGAAAAAGAAAAAAAAAAAAAAAAAAAACTGAACCAAATATTCCAAATGTAATTTTAAGAAGATTAAATGATGCTTGTTGGAATCAAATCAGATGCACCGATTTTATAATCTTGATCTCAAGATAATAATCTTTTATTATCTGATGGATTATCATTCTTATTCTTGGATACATTAACTAAAAAGGGCATAAAATTTATTGGATTCGATAGTGTTGATGTTGTGAAGGATAAGATTCAAGGGAAGACCTCAATAAGAGACCTTAAACCCAAGAAAGTAGTTATCTTATAGTTACTAAAACCAGCTGCCATGAACAGATCCTTCCATTCTCTCTCATTTCTCTTTGTATTATTGAAAGTGGCCATCATCAACGCATTACCACAAAGCTCAGTTTCAGTTGACTCCGCATCTTCCATCTGCGTTTCCAGCACTGCCTCTATGATCACCACTTTCCCACCTTTGACGCTACTAATTGCATCTTTACATTTCTTCAGTATTTGTATGCCTTCTTCATCGTTGCATTGGTGTAGAACTGACTGGTGATCACCAAAATCCCAAACTAAGTACTTTTTCGGAATGTTTAAGGTTTAAAATCTAAAGGGAAACAACCTTCATACCTTGAGTAAGACTGCATCTGTTGGTGGAATTTGTATTGCTAAGTTCAACCCTTTTGTGGTTTGTTGCGGGAGATCCAACACAGTGCAAGTGATGTGTGGGAATGCTTCCGCTATGGCATTGGCTATAATGCCTCGATCGCCGGCAACATCGACCAGTGACTTCACCCCCTCGAACACGTCTCGGCACTCCGGCCTCGTCACAATCCTCCCAATCAGGTGAGAATCATAAGCCACGGATTGATGGAACAAATTTCTAAGATCAGGCTCATCAGCAATGTAATTCCATATTGACTTCCCATGCAACGTTTCAAAGGCAGACCCATCTGCAGTGCGCAGCCAGCTGCTCATGGTTTCCCATGGAGCCATCATGGCTTGATGGAGGGCTAGAAACACGAAGGGTAAGGCTTGTAATGTCGTCGTCGTCGTCGAAGTCGTCGTATTGGGGCGGAGGAGAAATCGAGAGGAGGGTGTAAGACCATACTTCACTACTTCTTGAGGCTGATGATTCTGGTCTTGAGTTTGAGAAAAGAAGCCAGAATGATGGAGGAGGCGCATAAGAACGCCAAGGCAATGGGCTTTGGAGGGTTGAATATGGAGCGCTTCCACTAATTCTGATAGGCTCATGGGTTGGCCATGGTTATGGATGGTATCTGGTACGCCCAATTCAATAACACATTTCAAAGACATGGAATTGATGTATTTGAATGCATGGTTCCAAATATGGGCTTGAGCTTCAATCAACTCATCTTTGTTCTCCTTCTCTCCCATGATTTCCCTCAACGATTAACTATGCCAACCCAAATATAAATATATATACACAACAGACTCAGCTTCCTTCATAACTCAACTATATAAAAAAAGTATTTGATATTCGTCACAAAAAATAAGTAAAAAGAAAAGTTAAATTTAATTTTTCAGCTTTATTTCTATTTAATATGAAAGATCCTTTATTTAAACTCTATTAATCTTCCTTCTCCAATTAATGGAATTCAACATACTAGCCCCTCTTTTGTATAACATTAAATTATTGGTTTTCCCATAGGGAAAAAGAAATCTCCTAGAGTGAATTTCGATTTTTGGTTTATAAATAGTAGCCAAAGCATGTCTATCTAGATTTTTGTGCAACATGGTTACATCACCTACCGCTGGCTTCTGAAGAATGAAGATTATCCCTTCACACAACATGGCAAGCATATAATAGCGAAATTAAATCAAGCATCATGCTTCAATAAATGATATAATTATAGCTAATCAATTTTCATGCTTCAATAAATATCATCACAAAGTTTCCCTTTCTTTTCTTTTCTTTTCTTATGTATGGTGTACCTAAGAGTGACAGAGCATCGACAATTGGACCATGAAACATGTCAAGTCTATATCATAGGCTAGTCTATATAAGATATGTAACTTAGAGCTCTGATACCAACTGTAACCATCTTAGATTTTCTATTTAACCTAAAGTCACTACTGTATATATATATAATGCGGAAATGCTTCATTAAAAACTTTATAATAAAAATATGACTTTGGTCTGACATGTCTCATCTAAAGCCTTTAAACAAACTAATACAAATTGAAATAAGGAAAATAACCTAAAGTAAAATTGCAACTAACCTATATGCTAGTAAATGAAAATGCAACTAACTTATACTAACGTATAGTCTAAAAATTCAAATTATGAAACTATCTTAAGCATGTGTCACGGTCTCCTAGTTGCAATGTCACCATCAGTCGTATAGGAGAGCTTGCCTTTACCTAAAAAATGAGAGTAGCACATGACTTAGTATTTTAAGAAATACTCAGTAAGCGATCCCCCAATCGAGGCTAAAAGCAAT